GGAGTCGGAAGGAATGATCATTTCCTTTGTTCTGGATACTATCATCCACTGTGCCAGCCCAGAGTCACTGGGAATTGTGGAAACTGTATCACCATGGATCCATATTTCCAAGATAACTTTGGATAATACATATGAAAGTCCATCATGAACAGTAACACATTCCATAAACTTTAATTATTATTACTACTGGTTGTTATTAAGTTTATCATTTGAAACACTTATGTCTTCAACTGAGAAACCACGTGCTTAATCCCAAGTGAAAAGAGTAAAGTTAACTCTTCTCAGCTCGTGGAAAACTGTCGTCTTTAACAAGTTCACGTCGCCTACATGTTTGGTGAGCGTGCTGGCTATATTTTTATGGAATTAATTTATGTCCAAGTTCACTCATTCATTCCACACACAAAAAGTAACTATTCTGAATGACTACGAAGCTCCGAGCATTTATAGTTAATATCATTTTGTTGACACAGAAATAACTATTGAACAGGCTCTATTATGTCCACTTTATTCAGAAAGTTTTTCTTCAAGAAATGAGCTCTGTGCCACGTTCCCGTAGCTGAGAAGTATCAAAGCTGGGATTTGAAAACCAGGGTTGTCTGACCCCTTGTGCATGTTTCCTCCACTTTTTATTCTGCCTGCCCAGAACGACTAGAAGCTTCTCTCCAAACTGAGCCACGGATCAGGACTCTACTATGCTGCCTCTCCTTCCCCCAACCCTCACGTCCGGCCCACTGGGTGGACTTCTTCCTTTAGTCCCAGGCCCCGTCTGCCCCGCAGGCCCCCTGCCCTAAACTCAGCTATGCTGGGCCCCGGGAAGCAGGACTCTGTCTAGTTTTGTTCACTGTGTCATTTCCGGCACCCACGCAGTGACAGGCAAAGTCGGGCTTCAAGAGGTAAGGTTTGAAAGTGAATGGAGAATAAACGAATGAAGAAATGCATCGCCTCGGCATCTCCTGCGCTCCGTTCTCTGTCTTCCCCCCTGATTTCCGCCACAAGTCACCCGACCTGGTGCCACAGCAGATTGCTAAGGCCACGTACTCGTCCACCTCCCCTCTCGGGTAACTTTTTTTCATATTTTCTGAGGCTTCCAAGGTCTTAACCTAAAGAAATTACTCGAATGGCGAGGATTTTAGGCTCTGGTGGTTCTGAGGGACTCAGTGACCTCTCAGCCTGCACCACGTACCGGTCACCTCTCCAGGTCCTCAGGTGTCCCCTCTCAGAGAGTGTAGACAAAGTCAACCACCAGTTACACTTGGTGTGTCCTGCATGTCAGTCGCCCAGTCAAATTATCCTGATGGGCGACATCAAATCCCCTTGTATTTAAGACTAACAGGGCGCAGCTTTTCTCTGAGAGGGGGCAGAGGGCAGAGTTTGTCTTGTCACAGTCTCGGTTAAGTCTAACGAAAGTCCCTGTGATTTTCTTAATTTCCCTTTTTGATCCCCCGCATCGATTTTCAGTAGATTTGAAGTTGCTGTGAATTTCTTAACTACTATTCAAAAGCAAAATAAAAAAAAAACAAAAAACCCACAAAACAGCATTTTCATTGTGGTGAGGAAAAGAGAAGCAAGCTCTTGCTTTCTATAATAGAAGTCATCAAAACTGCAGATCGGTACTTAGGTTTCCCCCAAACTCACTTTTCCGTGATTATAGTATCAGCGTGCGATGTGGCCTCACGGCAGCATTCGCTGGTGTGACTTCAAAGGGGAGAGGATCTAAGGACGTAGGACGTCTGCTTGGTAAGCAGCACAGATGGGTCTCACGCTAAGCCCCACTGATCCAGCTTGTCGGGGAAGAAGTCACACTAAGGCCTCACCCTCTCCCTGGGAGGAAGACGTGATCCTGAAAAACAAGCGCACACGTGTGGTAATGGCACAAGACCGTCAGGAAGTCACCCCGTCAGCCTACTAGGTGTTTGGATGGATGCCCCTCTTTTTACAGAAAAATGTTCGGAGCCAGGATCTGTGGTGTTCCTATTTTAATGGCAGTGCTAATAGGTAACTCATTCGTTTGTTGTTACTTAAATAAGCTGATCGGTAGCATTTAGAGTTTTTATGATGTTTACTTAGCAACGAACGTTAATGCAATAGGTATTACTGTCAAATGAAAATGAGAACTTTTCAGGAACAGAAAGTCGCTCAAAGTATTGAGTGAAGGAAGTACTCACGCACTGAACCCTCGGTCTTTTTCTTGGGTATCTCTTTACTAAAATAAAGAAAACGATTAAGATAGAGAAAGATAATACTTACTTAATGGTATATGTTTTTGTAGACATAATTTTCTAATAGATATTTCATTAACTATGACTTTAAATAAAGTGAGATTATAGCAAAAGTTATTTTAAAAGCCAGTGATATTTATATTTAACATAAAGACTACCTGCTTTTTATCCATGAATATAATTTGTTCTGATAAAAATGGGGTCTATTCCAGGTAGTAGAAATTTTCCCTATTATGATTATTTTCGAAATACAGTCTTATCATGGAATCAGATATTATACTTAGAAGAATTTTAGAAAAGTAAAATGAAGTGAGTGTTTGGTCAAGTACATGAATTGACTTCATGTAAACAAAATGACAGTAAGTGTTAAGTAACCCACCTCATACTATAAATACTAGGACATAAGTAACCAATTCATTATCAACTAAAATACCCAGTAAAGAAGATAATCCCATAAACGTTGCCTAATTCCTTCATCTCGATTGACGGTAGACCTTGTTTATGTTGAGCCAGTCAAATAGCCAATAAAAGACGTTTCGATCTTTTTTCCCACTTTTAGTTTCTCCGAGTTCATCAAAATAAATATGTCTGACCTTATTTCACATAGGAGAGTCAGTGGAACTGATTTTAAACAAGGCAAGAGTATTAATCACTGTTTACTGTTCTTTTAATATCTAATTCTGCTTATTTTCTTCAGACTGTTGACCTTGATACAGGCTTTCTCTCCTTTCTGTTTTTGTTTATTCCCCTGCTGGTAAAATTTAGAACTAGCTTCTCTGTTTACACGGCAAGGAAATACATAATCAAGGTATTAGTAGTTATCCTGTGAAATAGCAAATGTGTAAACTTTAGAAATTATAAGAAAAAATATAGTAAACGACAGTAAAGAAACTACTACCGTTTGCACTTACTTGCTGACCCAGAAGAAATGGAAGGGGTACTATGAATTCTAAGGACGCAAATGCCCTGTATCAGAGCTGATAATCTGAGGTGTGGACATTTTAATATCCAACCAGCTGGTCTTCCCTCTGTTACGTATCCCTGTGACATTCATCTTTATGAAAAAACCGCTTGGTTTTCCTTCCATCGATGACTCATTTTTCTCCACTGCCTTCAGAAAATAAATAAGTAAACACATAAACAAACAGATAAAAATGAAACAGAACGATCAAACCATAAATCCCCAAACCCTCTCTAGTCTGGCTCTATCGACTCTTCTTGACTTGACTTTCCTACGTAAATCATCGTGGCAACGAGACTGCCAAACAGCATCACCTCTAAACGTCTTACACTTTTCCGCCGATGAGTTTTTATTCCATTATTTCCATGTTCCTCTTTGTCCATCCGACTCGTACTTGAAAACCGATATGAAACCCTCTAAATCCCAGACCAGCCTAGTCTCGAGAGATGGTCTGAGGACACAGTGTTTTCAAATGGTCTCAAATCACCAAAAATATTTCTAATACCTTTGTTGAAAAATATTTGCGTATTTGCGGACCCGCACAGTTCAAACCCACATTGTTCAAGGGTCAGTTGCACTTGAATTACTAACTCATGGTGTAGATGAAACAGACACAGAAAGTCGCTGGGACCCGTTTCCGGTCATTATCGCTAGAGGAGCCTTTTTGTCAAATTTTTAAAAACATAGCTTAGGCATAGAGTTAAATGGGAACACGAGACACGTGTTAGTAATAACCATAAAAACGAACGCACTGAAGTATCAAGTGAAAAACCGCATCAGGTTGGGTTTTCGATACCAGAAGCCGGATCAAGCGCTTCTGGAGTTTGGGATTCAGGCTTTCTAAGCCTTAATCGCTTTTGCGAAAGAGAAGAAAGAACCTCTGCCTTGAAAACCACAGCGGAGCCTCGAAGCACAGACACACGGTGTGGGTGGGATGCAGGGAGAACCTCACGGCGCTCCACACACGCCCGTTTTTGTCAAGAGTTTGTCCACACAAACGTCACCGGAGAAGCAGTGATTCTCTCTCTTAAAACGTGCTACGCTCCTTCTCGTTACTTTACTAAATCCGTTCTGATAATTCTCTAATGAGATCTCTTCCCTTGACGTGGAATCATGGAAAAGAGTAAAAACAAAAAACAAAAAACTGAACAAACTAT